AATCCGGCAGAAAGTTATTAAGATTAGAAACCCAATGAAACGCTCAATGGTTGGCTCAATAGTATTTGAGTGAATCCCGGCCCTCATAGTCATAGGCTATAGCCGTATAGGAATTCCATTAGTATTCTAAGAATAAGTACCGGTTATGTAATAGTGTTTGCATTTGATATGTCAGTGCTTTGCCCACAAAAATGAGATGATATATACTTTTTTAGTGTCGCCGACAAATGCCTCGAAATGTTGACAATTTAAAAGTTTCGCATCACTTTTGAGCCATAATATGGGAAAACATTAAAACGTTTGCTAAATGTGTGCATTCATTGAGGGACTTGTCTTATCTATGATTTACAATCAATACAAACACATTCTGATTGAATACTGGATTATTTGATAAGGACTTCATTTTGAGGAGGAATTCCATAAATAAACGCTATATTGAAATAAATGGTCAACTTTTAGGAGTGATAACTCAATAAAGACAATAATTCACTGTTTAATCCGTATTCTCGTATGAATAGCAAAACTGTGTCATCATATCTGATCCATTGATTGTAAATCTAAACTATCGGACAAATGATTCTCATGTGATATTTGTGTCGATAATATCGCGAATTAATTTTTATTAGTATTTCTTGTTTTCAATATATTCAGCCAAAAGTTTGTCTCAATAAATAAAATAAATAAAAATTACAGACTATTCTTATCTTAGAAACTAATTGCAGACAATTGTCATAAAAAAGTTTTATTTGAGGAATAGGTGCTGAAAGGGTAGGGAGTTATGAGTTCTTCTAAATAAGTTATCATTGTTTGTAAGGATTTTTCAAAACTCGAGAGTTTATATAAAAGTTGTAAAAAGTGTGGCTTTTATGGCTTACGAGTTAGATAATGCTCTCTCTCTCTCTCTCTCTCTCTCTCTCTTTCTCTCTCTCTCGCACTCTCTACTACTCACTCGCAATCCTCAATGACATATAATTACGAGTTATCACCAAAAAGTATTAATAAATTTTGTTTGTTAATCTAATTTGCAATTAAGTTAAAAATTCTCGGAAAAGACTAATAAATATAAAGATTGAATCGAAGGATATTTGTTTAATTCAATACAATCTGTGATTAAAGCAAATAATCTACATTAGAGTCAACATCAGAGTATAATCTAAGCCATAGTTAATCTAAAACTAACTACAGTACAAGTATAAGACTATTTCATACTCATGTGAATAAATTGTTGTGGACTTTAAACTTATTTTATTCATAGATAAAAATTGGTTCAAAACAAACATAAACTGAATAAAAATTTTTTGGCCAAAAATCATTCACTTTATGCCGAGAATATTGAAAATCTTTTCGTCCATACAATAAAGGATTGATTGAATCGTTTCTATTGTTTGTCGAAAGAAATTACTTCTCAAGAGTTTGACAATAGTTTTTGAAAAACTAAACGTCAAATTGAGTGAATGAATGGATGAAATCAATTGATTTATTTTTCAGATAATCGTTGAATAATAAAAATGTTTGAATTGCATGGCATTACGAGGTATTAACTGAACAGTAAATCTCTTGAACTAATAATCACTTGGAGGCAAAAATTGTATTGTCAACACATATAAGTCTATTAGCGTATAGACAGAGCATATCATAAGATCGTTGATGACTTATATTATTAAATAACATGTCTTATAGTGGTATTAATGACCTCTCAGACAATGACAATGCTATGACCGGTAACTCTCAAAGTGGTCTCCAAATGCATTTGAAATACTAATAAATTATTTCACAAACTTCTCATAAGACTGCTATTGTTCTCCGCAAATATTTTCAACCAATTATTTATTTCATAAGTTATCTTCATTTTAAATGCTTGTGACGTTTGGTGCCGTTTCGTGGAAATTATTGTAAGGATTTATACGTATTTCAATGGATTTATATTGAAAACCTCTGTCTCTCTACACATAACTAAGAATATGTTTCCTTGAATTCAAAGATTAAGTTTTGAATAATATATTATATGATATTTAAATGATTTAAACGTCTATGAGTTCCGCATTACTTGTCATTTGATCCGTTCATTCAAACCATATCTTATTCGCAATTAGATAACCAATTATTTAATTTCATCTCAAAGTTTTGCACTCAATATCTCTGTAGATATCTTTCATGTCTGACAATACTTTTTGCAGATATTTTTAGTTTCAATATACTGTACATTCATTTTATTATTAAGCAATAAACATATTCCCAGTGAACAAGTCCAATTTTAATCAATAATCGCATTAAATTGAAATTCAATTTAATCGTAAGGAATGCAAATACAAAAATTAACAAACATTTAATTCACTTAAAACTTTAGCAAATTGTCAAAATTGGGATTTTATCTAAAAATTAAACGAATAAAACCGTGGATTAAAATTCTTGTAAACTATATATTTGTGATTAGAGTCAAGCAAAAAATAAAAATGTGACTTTTAATTGTAAGTTATTTAACCAAAAAAACAAAACAAACAGCGGTTTAAATCAAATGCTAATGATTAAGAAATAAATAACGAAAAACACATTAATATATAATCAAACGATTAATTAATAAAAAAGATGCAATTATAATCAGATAACAAAATTGTCAATAAGGGCTAACAATTAAATGTAACATTAATATGATTTCAGATAATAAAAGATTAGGATTAAATCAATGAGTCAATGAAAAAAACATTCAAATGATTTAGTGATGAGTTTAAAAATGCTTTTAAACTCAAGCCTTTGTCTGTGAAAAGCGTTCGTTTGCTAATTGTATGGATTGGTAGACATCTGCGGCCGCCTTATTGAGGTCCGGGTCGTTCACAGAGCCCAACACCACCACCACATCCGAGAGACCCATTTGATTGAAATGCGTCCACAAATCAATTGAATTGATTCGCATAATTAGCTCTTGTATTGTCACTAAGAGTCGTCTTTGGGTTAGAGGGTCTGCTTCGAGAGTAACTCTGAAGATAACTGAAATGACATTGAATTGGGCCAAAAGTGTGGCACCAATTGAATGCTTCTCTACAAAGATCGTCAAGAAGTCGACCACTTCTTTGACGAGTCGACTGTTCTTGAGTTTCATTAAAATATCGCAAAAACCTTTCAAAACATTGGACTCAATCATGAGATTCAAGAAGTGTTTCTCCATCTCGTCATTCGAGTCGATTCGCTCGCAAAGCATTAGCCAGAAGTGAATCACCGCTGAAGTGATATCTTCATTGTTTTTGTCAATCAATTCAGTCATTGAAATAATGAATGATTGGTTCAAAAGTGTAAACATAAGAGGACTCTTTTCTACCATTATATTCAGAGCGGTTAAGATATTAACAGTGATTGCGTTGTCTTTGTAGTGAAGCAGTCTTTCAAAGACACCCAACAGATAGATAATTTGTTGAGTTTTACTCAATTGGTCCACAATTGGCACCAAAGATGACGATATCTTTTGGATCAGATTCTGCTTTTTCTCTGTTATCAATGCAATCGAGCGGTTCCTCGAAAACAACTTCTTCTTCTGTTTTGACGTCAGGTTAGACTCCAAAAGATTCACTAAAAATACGAGATATCCATTGTTTAGGGCTATTGTGAGGATATCGTGCGACAGATCAGTCATCGTCTTCATTATAGACACCGTTTTGGTGACTAACCCGATGTCAAAGTCACGCGTTGTGACCATAACTGAAGACATGATACCCGTCTTCAAGACAATCATTTGAAGAACAGTTGAGTCTTCGACTGATGAGAGGATCGACTCAATCAGATCGAGTAATGCATATCTGAGAGCATTAGGGATATAAGTGTTGGACAGCATTGCACTCAACCTCACGAAGAAGTCGACAGAAATGAATGGTTGACAACACATCTCGTTGTCCAACAGATACTTCTTCGCGATCTGCACATAGTTTTTGACGGAATACTCATTGATGGCAACGTTGCCATTGATATAATCGATGAGCACGTGAACAGTCTTGGAGTCATCGCACAGATTGGTCTCAGAAAAGGACAAGTCTTCGGTCGAGGAGTCAAACCATTCCTCGTCTTCGAGACCTCGCATGCGGTCAAAGAGTTGGCGTCTCTTATCCTTTCGGATGTCTTGTAAAGTCTTCGTCCGTTCTTCGCGTCTGATTCTGAGTCTCGAGTCGAGAGACATCTGTTTGGATCGGATCTCCAGGTTATCCATACTTGAGATCAACGGTTCCCTGAAGAATGATAGGATCCATGAGATAATTGTCGCTAAAGACAGGATCAGATAAATAATTACATCAAATTAGTAAATAATAAAACAAATGATTGAATGAATGGTTAAAAAGAGTGATAATATCGACTGCAAGAGTGCATGAATTGGTGATCACTTGAACCAATGAAACAGTGAATGAGTGAAAGGATTGAGAGTTTGTGTGAATGAAAGTGTGGAGACATATGAAGACATGACTCACTCCACCAAAAAACACACAAATAATCACTTTTTGCTATCAAAAATAGGTTTCACTTCCGATTCATTCAATCACTTCAATGCATACAATGAAAGCCCGGTTGCAGTGAATGGACAGTCGGTCCACACATTCATTGGACACACAAACCCCTAATCAATGGCTAATCGCACGCCAAATGTGTCCACAAATTGTGCGCAAATTAAATGGCGACTAAATGTGGGCTTAACTGCCCGTCAAGTGACCACTCATTGCAGTCACGTAAGGGTTAACTCACTTTCACTGCATTGAGTGCATGAGTCACGTGTCGTCTGTTTCGGACACTTTTGATGCGTTTGATGCGAAATCGTGTCTACAGTTAAGTCACTGTCAATGAGTCGACAATTGTGTTGATGTCAAGTGGACTCGACTATAGGTCGGCATCGGTTTTGTCACCAAAGACTCATTGCATTGACTGCACAGTTGAACAGTGCAGTGCTTTCATTGCTGCACCACGTGTTCAACACTTTTGATAACCTCTGACCTCAACCTCTCACTTACTCTTTGACTCTTTTGTAAGGCTTTTGCGAAATACGTATAGATTTTGCAATATTTGAGTGCAAATCATGTGAACGACGGGTCATATCGTGCTTTGCGTTCAATAAATGCTATACTAATCACTCGTTTGTCTCTATTTTGACATTTAGTCCACACTTTTGACCGAAAATCCACTCTTGAAGACATTGACTGCATATTTGATAATAGATTTAAGGACTGAATAGAGATCTAGTGATCAGACAATGACTTCCAATAATAAGATGTTTGAGAAGTATCTTCGAGAGAAGGCGTCGCTAATGAGGGCCAGTCTTAGGGATCAGGACTTCATCGCTGAGGTCAGGAAGGAGTGGAAGGTATGGCACAGACATTGCACCCATGAGTAGGACTATAACATAGACAACCATTAATGGCATTATCTGTTGCATCAGATGATGACACAGAATGAGAAGCAGCTCTCGACTGAGCCATCAGTGAGTGGATCGGATGAGACCCTCTCTGCCATCAAAGACATGGACGACGACGGGTTCGTCGAGGAATACAGAGAAAAGATGGTCAAAGAGTTGGTTCAATACAAGTCCAAAGAGGCGTTGATGGACGCGAAGATATATCTGATGTCATCCAACATCCAATGCGTTGTCCGCAACACATACCCTCCGCTGGAAATTGGTTTCGTTGAGTACACCATCAGAGGAGGCATTCAGCGGATTCATCACAAGTTCATGGATTTGGGAGACATTCCCTCCGGTTATGCGTGGAGTGCTATAAATCACATGCAGTCGACCCACAAGATTCCGCTCAAGAACTTTGAATTGGCGTCAAAGGACTTCGCGGCCATCGGTGACGGCATTCTCGACTTCTTAGAGCCGAGTCGTGTGCCGATAGTTGGCGTCGAGAAGTCGGGACATCCGTTGATAGTGTTCTCTCTGTGGGACCAAATGGATCAAAACGAAGGGGCACTCAAATGGTTGGCCAACAAGTGCTGCGAAGGCATGGATTGGAATATACGCGTATTGGACGTGTCTTTGCTTCTGAAGGCAATCTACTCGGCGGTAGCCATCACTCAACCGCTGGTCGTCTGTCGCCACAAATTGTCGACCGCTTCCTTCGACTACAGTCTCGACACTGACTGTCATTTCCACGATGAGCTCCAGACCATACACTGCGCTCAGGGCGTCGCCAAACGCATCGCGTACGCCCTCTCACTGTCATTCTTCGGGGTCTTCCGATTCAAACTACTGCCAACTCATCTGCCGTCCCGTGAGCTCAAGAAGTATTCGTATTTCGGGTTCATTGAAGACGGCCTTCAAAATCTTGGTTTGGGTGACGAGAATCTGGAGCCCAATAACTAGGGTCACGAGACTTCATCGGACACTACATCTGGCATTTGATCCTCTCTTCGTTAGACTAATTATTAGTCACTAATAGCTCATTATTACTTGACTTTGATTTCTGTTTCTTGACTTTGATTACTGTTTTCATTATTTTTCAATATTTGATATAAGATTTAAAAGTTTGTTTAATTTGAATAGTTTATCACAATTCATGTAATTATAACATTACTAATTACCGGTTATAGAATTTAATAAAAACGGTATTTGACCACAAGATTGTCACACAATTATTAAATGACGAGATATGAAGTCAATAGTAGTCACAGTTTTGGTAATAATAAGCAAATTTTATTAAATGCATTGAAATATTGTATAGATTTTGAATCAAGCATTAAGCTCTACGATTAAGTAGTATTTGTTCATAATTTGACGGCTCATACAAATGAGACCTTTCACTACAAAAAAATCATTCATTTCGTGCAAAATTATAAAAAATGTTTAAAAAGTAATGAAAACAATAAATAGTGCCTCCAATGGGAACAATTTGAGCGCCGGTATCGACACATTCGCTTAACACATGGTATCATCAAAAGAGATTGTAAATTAAAAACAACGTTTCACTCATTTTCGTTTCATTTAATATAAATGGAAACTAAATTTGTTTAATAAAATATTTATCAACAAAATGATTAGAAATTAACAAAAATAACAAAATATTTCCTAAACATTCATTTGGAAAAGTAATGTTCGGATTATTAATTGACAAATTTAAATAAAATATGATTAAAATGACACTGGTAATTATAATTATTTAACTTTTTTGCGAAATATCGAGTCGTTCTTATTATTGACTAATTTTGGACTTAAATTCACTTTCGTTTGTAAACTAATTAACAGGTCGTCGCCGTCGTCGATGTCAGGTATGCTTTCCCTCCAGTACTCAAAAGCGCTATACTCTGAGCTGAAGTCGGTTTGATCAGAATGCAGGGGCGGAAACATCTGGTCCACCAAATCGCTCAATGATGTATAGCTAATCATCGGATTATCAGATTAGATATTAGTCATAAGGTTTGGCACTAATTATTCCGAAACTAATGTCAAGACTATATTTAACACTTACGATGACTGAAAGTTTTGGATCAATTCCAATTTGAGTTCTCCCTTATGGTTGATCATGAATATACGCGACGGTCGGATCTCTACCGCCCGATAGGCCCACGTGTCCTATAATTATCAATCATTAATATATGATAACCTCGACCTTCTTGTAGACTAAACAACAACAAAACTCACATTTATTTTGTTACCAAAACCGGCATAAAATGGAGAGCGAGACGAAGGATAAAGATCACGGATATCTTGAAGACATTGGATTTTGAACTCTTCGGGTTTCTTCTCAATAACCTCTCTATAGAGATTCAAAAGTGTTATTCAATTGCATGTGTTGTCTAATGATAAGAGTGAACAAATTGAATACCTGTGCAGAGCAGCGATCATAGAAGTGGGGGATAGTAGAAGAGGTCCTTCAGGTAGGGATCGGTCGCCCTGTCGAATGCTTTTGAGATAATCGCCGGTCGACGAGGACTGACCGATGGCTCGCGCCGAGAGGTAAACAATTTTATAACCATTTTTCTTGATTAGAGTGAAGAGGTTGGCGACGCCCGACTGCGCCCAATCCCTGCCTATTATGGGCAGAATGTGTCCCAAGACGTCCGACTTAGTGATTGTGCCGTCGATGTCGCTGATGATGATCTGGTCGTCGTAGCGCCACAAATAGATATAACACTTGCAAGTAGTGGTTCCCTGGTATGCCGTCGTCACACTGAACACCACTTCATTCTTGCCTTCATTCAGATTCAAGTCATCGATTTGTTGTGAAGACAAGCGAATCTTTTTCTTGTATTTAATCTTTTGTTTCCTATCTTTTTGTTCGTTCGGTTCCTTTGTCTCTCCATTCGGCTGAGAATTCTCATCGATGTCTGCATCGCTTCCAGCGTCGCTGCCGGAGGACAGGTATGTGTCGGAGAGCCACCCGTTCTCAGTGTCCTCTGTGGGCGATGGGGCCGACTCTCGCGTGTTCTTTGGCTCCTCTTCTATAATCTCCTCGAAAAAGAAAGCGTCGCCCGAATGGCCTAATTTCATGTGCAGATCAACCGGTTGTCCATTCACTTCGATATCCACCTAAAAGTGTGGACAAACGGACACATGATTAATACAAAAGTTATTTTCAAAAGCATGACAACAAGACTCACAATCTTCTCACGACTCCGAAGAACACCGATTTTGCCGAACCGGACGTAAAACGGGGAGCACTTGTACGAGCCGTCCTCCTGCTGGACGACTATCACATCGATAGCTCCGGTAAGTGTCGCCGAATTGATCTCATTGTAGAACTCTCTGAAGTTACTGAAGAATGACTTCATGTAATTCATGGTGAAGACGATGATTGAAAAAGTGAAGACTAAGTGATGTCTTTTCGTATGAGTTTTGCGTTAATCTCTTTGTTTAAGCCTTTCGTTGCAATCAAATCAGCGCATAATCTAATCGTCAAATAATTTTTCAAAACATTTATTAATAAGTCGTTTGTTTAGTTGTGAAGCAAATAAATAATACGATTATTGCACTAAAATAGGAAACTTTTTCTCTAATCAAAAGTTATTCAAAATCTATTCAAAAGTCACTTCTAATAGCAGAGGAAATGAATATATGAATGAATATAACGACTGCCAAATGCAAGGGATCCAAGAAAACGTTACTATCATTAATGGATAGGAATTGAGTTCATAAAAACAAATTTTAAATAATTATACTATAATTGAAGTTTAAAGTAGATTTCACTTCGAGTCAAAAGGATTTGCAAAATAAGGGCAGAGTATGGAAATGTTTGCTAAAGTTATTAATGTCTAATGTTTATCAAAAATCGTATGAATATGAGACCAAACTCTCAATGAATACCATTATTCGCAAACTTATCGTTCAAATCAACGAATAAATAGACGTTAATATATTATCTCACATTTGATTTAATGAAATATTTTTATCTAAATATAAACTAAATTACATATAAATTTGTCTCAAAATTGCTGCAAAAAACGTTTAATCAAAACGCAATAAAAGCACTGAAATATAAATATTTGCTTAATCAAAAAAGTTTTATTTAACAATTTCTAAAAATCAATTTAAACAACTATCAAATTGTTTTATTTATACGTCGATACTACTATGTAATCAAAAGTGTTTTTCCAATGAATTGTGTCATAAAATGAAAAAATGAAAAATAAAAACACATAATTGAGTAGAAAAATCAAGGCCTGCCGGTCCTGAATGTGCGCCAAATGTATTCAATAAATATTATGAACAGATAAAAGAGGTTTTTACTTCATAACAACGTTAAGAAAATTAACATTAATTTTATTTTTATTAATAAAATTATAAAATCAAAATTAAAAACAGTTATTAGGACTTACGTAGTGTGCGATGGGTCTACACCTGAGCCCTCGCCCCTAATATCAGGAAAACTAGAGGTATTTGTCTACTTTATGGCACACTTTTAGATTTAAAAAAAACTTTTGTGTGTTTATTATGTTTAATAACAACGTATAACACAATTGAAGCGAAAACCAAATGTAATGAAACAAAAACCTTTTGTCAATTTAAATAATAAGACTTTAAATCACGTAAAACATATGAAATGATATCTTTCATGAAGACACTGCGAGACACAAACAGTTTTTTGTCAAAACTATTAGACTTTAAACTTATATGAAAACTTAAAGTACAGTTAAGAAACTTTTAGACTTTTACACATGTAGTGGAAAAAGAAATCTAAACTCTTATTCGCAAACATTTTTCGTTTCTCTTATATCCTCATCGATAAGACAATTGATGCGATTCTTAGGACAAGTTTTTCATATGAATATTTAATTGAATTTCTCAATCAGTTATGAATACATAACAATATTATTGAGCAACAAGTAAGTAGTGATATGTTTGTGAACCGAGTGCTACCCCTAACGTCGAGTTTAAGGCCAATCATATCATAGATTATGTTTTCAATGCTATTCTCATGTGAAGGATATTCTAGTGAAGTATTACGTGAATCACTCGTAAGTAAAATAACTCGTGATTAATATGTGATAAAAATAATATGCGATAAATACAAATCTCAATTTATTAGATAATTGCACAGCAGTTAGTGTAAACAAAATGTGGGGAAATATGCTCACAAACCGGACAAAACCTAAACCAAACCAAACCTCCATAATCTAACAAATCGTGTGATTTTGCACTCATTTTGGTTACGAAAATATTATTCATTTTTGGTCCAAACCCAACAAACGCCGACATAATGTCTGACATTTATTATAACACTTCATAGATTTCATATTATATTCACACCAAACAAATGCCAACAAATAAAACA